TGAGTGAGTGAGTGAGTGAGTGAGTGAGTGAGTGAGTGAGTGAGTGAGTGAGTGAGAAAGAGAAAGAAATCGTACCTTTCTTGTTCGCTTGTCTGTCTTTTTCCCCCGTGATATCAAAGCTACCATGTGTTGTGAGAGGGTAGCTAATTCTAGATGGGAAATGGTTTCCAGAAGGTAACAACTCCCAGAGATAACAGGAGGCAGAAACAGTCCATAATCCTCATGTCTGTTTCCCATCAGCAGAAGGTAGGTGGCGGCCCCTGCCATGCATCAAGAGAGCATACTACATTAACTAGGAGGGTCTTATGCCCGCTTATGTTGGCGATCCACGCAAGTTATAAAGATTGCAGAAGGACTTGGCGTCCAGAGTCTGCAAAAGAAGGAACACGAAAAAGAAAGATCACTGCAAAAGATTCCTTTCTTTCGTATGGAAACAGTGATCTTTGTCGGGGAAAGTGTCAGCCGTAAAAAATAAATGAATGTACTTTTAGGAGCAGGATTTAGCAGACTATCTGCCTGCCGTTTGTTGAAGGTTTTCGTTTTGTTTTGTTTCCGAAAGTTCCATGAAGCATTTGCTTCTGTATTGCTTTTGTTTTCTTTTCTTTTTTTCTTTGTTTTTTCTTGGGGGGGGGGGGTTGGTTTGGTTTGGTTTTGCCGTGAAACCTTTTGTATTGCCTTAGTAACTAAACCTCTTAGCACGAAGGAAGTTTGGCCTCCCTGTACCTCCTTGATTTAAGAATGTCTTGTTGGTTGTTGTTCTGTTTGGTTAGGCTTTGCTTTTCTACCTTTGTGGTGTGTGGGAATGAAACTGTGTCCGCTCCAAATGATCGTAATTTGCTTAGACAAATCATGTTATATTGAAACTAAGATCAACGACAGAAATGCTTAGTGTTCGTTCAACTTCAGAATGGCGAGGACTGCTAAAATACACGTCGGGTGTTTCTGCTTTTCTCCATCACGTGAAATTGCGATATCTTGCTCTTTACTTTCTCCTATATCTTTTTGGGCACAGTCGTTCAACATCTAAACAACAGTCCACTTAAATGACTTAGATATTGAGCATGGCAATCCATGTTGATAAGAATCTGAGCTCTCATCTAGTGCACACTGCTCTAAATATAATCTAGTTTATAGCTTTAATCTATGAATTCAGAATTTACGATTTAAAGCCCCCCCCCCCCCTTTCAAACACAAACATTTTAACATACCTGTTCACTGTTCTTTCACGGCTCCTAGGCTCTCCTTTGACATTAACATTTCTTTTACCACCACCGAGCAACACCCCACCCTCTATTTTCCTCTTTTCCATTTTGATATTTTAACATGCTTTGCTGCACATTTAAAAAAAAACTAACTAAAATGGCCTCTTTACGAGAAATTTTATTGCAGACAAAACTTGTCTAATCTTTTGTCCTAGGTTTTTTTTTCACAGTTAGTCAGTTAGCAAGTCTACCTCAAGGATGGTTTTATTCGAGTTATATAAAACAGTTTGAAACCTCTCCGGGTCTCCATATTTTTACGTGACATGGGGAGGAGGAGGAGGAGGTGGAGGA